TTTCACGTTACACCTGATCCTGAAATTCGATTGGTCGTTATTACAAGGGGTGGAAAAAATTTTGTGGGTCAGCTAGGCTTTAGACGACCCCCAAAAAGTTTCATGACCAATCATATCTCAAGATCAGGTGTAACAATCAAGAAATTCAAAACAAACGTTCGTTTTGTCAAAAATCGCGTATAACCCATAATTTAATCTATGAAAATACCTTCTGCGCATTAATTAAAAGTTTTCCTTGCATAATTTTGCTATAAGGGGTATTATTAGACATAGATTTAATTGTAAAATCCTAACCCTAACCTAAAACAACGAAAAGTTTTTTGGGTGGCGATTTTACCCCGGTTGAATAAAACTGCAAATAACAGCATTTGTTCCCTAAGTGAAAAATGGTTCTAATCTTAGATAAGCTCAAAGAAATTTTTGTTTAAAAAAAAAATTGTCAAGTTTAGTCCCTTTTCTCAGCACCCAGCCCATATATTCTCGAATTATCCAAAGTTATGCACATATTGATCATGTTTTAAAAGATGTACTATCCGTGGTTTGCGTTATATAGTATTGTATTTCGAAAAAGACTTCATAAGTTCGACTTACACCTTCCCGATCGTTAGACTCTAACAATATTTACGATCTTCCATTAGCTATATTTTGAGAAATTCAATTCTCTGCCTAAGATTTGAATTTCAGCTTTGAATAATAATCGTTTATACTATCTTCCACTTTCGCAAGATCCTATTTCAACACTATTTTCGTTTTTCTAATCAATTCATATTACAATATATTAAGAAATCATAAAAATTATATATATGTGTTTTTTCACAATATATTGGCATCAAAGTTAAGCGCGACTACGTCGCGCAACTACCTAATGGTTTAACAAATCCTAAATCACAGGATTAGAGTTTAGAACTGGATTCATTAATACAAATTTATATATCATAATTGTTCACAATAATAAATCCGAATATTTGTTTGATAAGGTTATGATTAATTCTAAAAAATCACAAATTTGTGTGATAAGCTCACATTGTTATTAAATCTGGTTCCAAACTTTACTTAGGATCTTTTAACAATTTTTGATTCGTTAAAATATTGTAAAAACGGAGTAATTCTTTAGATTAATTTAAAATTTTTATTATTTTATTACACAACGTAATAGTGGATATTCATTATAATGGAAGAATTTCTCAGCCTGATCACTATGTTATAACAAAAGTAGACCGTAGAAGTATTTACAATATTTTATATTAATATACGAACGATTGTGCAATATGCAATAAATTTCATCAAATTTATTATTTTATTTTTGTTCTGTAAAAGACGCAAAATAAATAAATAAATAAAAAAATAAAGACGCGAACACAAAATAATCACTTATTCATTTTGCCATTTTTTAGATTACTTTTAACACTTTAGCAATGATTAATACAGTATTAACATAAATTCAAAAAAAAAGAAATTTTTACAATAATTAATAATAGAGATCGGAACTGGTTACAAATTCAAAAAAAAACCTGAATTTGATTTACGCGTAACTGAGAACCGATTATTAAAGTTAAATCATACAGAGCTTAAAAAATCGAATTCAACTGGATTATAGTACGCGATATTTTAATAGACACTACTTTAAAGCACTAGTTTAAAACACTAATTTTAAAGTACTATGTAGTTTAAGCATTAATCAATTGATGCACTTTACGAAATTAGATAAGAAATACTGTAAACCGAATTTTTAAAAAACAAACCGGGTTTTTATCAGAATTTTTATAACCGAAATTAACGTTTAACGTTAAAAGAGATTACTTAAATTATATTAAACAATTCCGACCTCTTAATTAATAATCATTGTGAAATTTTCTTTTCAAATGAATTTTTTTTTAAAAAAAGGGAATCTATAGACACATACACACGTACATAATAAGTTAATATGTAAATAAATAAACAAATATATATATATATATATATATATATAATATATATAATATATATATAATATATATATATATAATTTATCCAAATCCGACCTAACTTTCCGGACGATCATCCGGACCCAACTTGATACCTAAACTTCTAAGTTTATTAACTTCATTGCTAAGAAATTCCAATTTAGCTTCCAGACGAGAAATTTTATCATTTTCAGGAGAAGAATCATTATGATTAGGCACAGCGACTTGAAGAAGATTAAATTTTTCTTCGAGTTCAGAATAAGCATCTTCTTTTTCTTTAAGTCTAGATTCCAAAAGTTGTATAGTTTCACTAATGAATTTTTCCGGGAGATTATCACGAGAAGCGGCAATACGAGCATCAATTTCACGTTTTTGAAGTTTTGATTCAAGTTCTTTAATATATTTTTGAAGATTAGAAACCAAATCTTTGTTTTGTTGACTTGTAGAATCAGCACTTTCTAATCGATTTTCTTGTTCTTTTAACATAGAATCAGAATGAGATAAAGCAGCACTAGTGATAGCAAGTTTACTTTCGAGGGAAGAAATTGTTTTTTCAAATTGTTCTATCTCTTGTTCAGAAACCACCCTTAATTTTATTCCGGGATAATCATTCTTTAATACTTCAATTTCATCATAATTATCTTGATGTAAAGCCAATTCAGCGGAAGTTTTTGCATATTTTTGAGATAATTCAGCATAAGAACGTTGTAATTGTAATAATTGATCTTCCAACGCATCATAATCTCTATCCCTTTGTTGAACATTATTCGTATTATTCGTATTATTGGTATTATTATGATTAAAAGAATTAGGAAGTATTCTAGTGGGAGTTTCTCTACCAGCAACGGGAGTAAAACTTGGCGGAATTCCCGAAGAGGAAGAAGAAGAAGAAGAAGAAGGAGTCATTCTTCCAGGTAAAGCAGAAGTAGAAGAAAATTTAGCAACAAAATCATTAGTTGGAGTACATATTCCAGGAATTTTAGCAGGCGAAGAATTTTTATCGGAAAAATTGGAAGAAGAATGTTTATGACCAGTAACGAAAGGAGATTGAGAAACTTTTTCAGGACTAACGGAACCACCACCATCTTGAGATCTTTGAGAATTTTGAGCAGCAGCAGCTTTTAAAGCGGAAATTTCACCACGAAGTTTTAAGACTAAATTTTGTAAATGAGTAACATCATTCCAACCAGCTTCTTCTTGATTTACGGAAGCCAGATTTTTGATATTACGAGCACGATTAGCATATTTAAGAGTGCTAACAGTTTCATTAATATTGTATTCAATTGGAGATACACAAGCAATCATTAAAGTTTGAGCATTTCCACCAAGAGAATCTTGTAATAAACGAGTAAGTTTAGAATCTCTATAAGGTACATGAGTAGTATGTTTTGCTTTACTAGGATCACCAAGAGCCGAAATGACATTTCCTAAAGCAAGTAGACCAGAGTTTATGGAAATTCCTTCTCTTGCACGGTCACCGCTTGCAGCAGTACGTTTTAACTAGAATTAAAATAAAATAAATTTAAAATAAATTTAAAATAAATTTAAAATAAATTTAAATAAATTTAATAAATTTAAATTGAAAGAAGTTAAAATAATAACAAATAATAAATGACAATATAATAATAATAATTATAATAATAAATAACAGATATATACACGTTCACTTCCAGCCAAATCGACGAAATGAAATTTACTAGATATAGTAATCCATTCACCATCATCAAATTTATCTAGACTTGAATTTGTTCTTGAAGAAGGTTGACTACCAAATCTAGAGGAAGCAGGAGTTCCAGGTCTTGAATTAGGAGGAGACGTAGCAGGTTGACCGGCCGAAATACAATTATGAGGAATGAATTTTTGTTGCACCATCGTAACAGAGAATATTGCATGGGAGCGAGAAGATTTAGAGTTCATATCAGTAACACCGACCTGTCGGTTCAATGAACCACGAGATAAATGTCTGTAATAAATCAGTTGTAAAAATCAGTTGTAAAAATCAGTTTGAGAAAAAAATTTTTTATGAACTTTTTTAATCGTAATTATCATAATTATCATAATTATCTATATTTATCATAAAACAAAAAATATAAATACCCACTCCATAACTTCATCTACATTATTAACTTTTAATTCCTGTAATCCGGTCCAATATATATTACCCCTAGAATCCTCACGTATCATAACAGGAGGTCTTTCTTCCTCGTTACCCTCACCAAGAAGATCAATTAAATCTTCATTATGAATCTCAATGAACGAGACTTTTATTGAGAATTTATGAGATTTATATTGACCAGAATTCATCAAAGAAAAAAGCGTAGCCATTGTACGTGGAATTATTCCTTTTGATTCGGGAGGTATAGTGTTATCATCAGCAGTTCCCATTGTATGAGTCTTCCCAGAAGAAGTCTGTCCATATGCCAAAATAGTAACATTGTAACCTATAATAATTAGGTTTATAAAATAAATTTGTAAAATTGAAAAGGTAAATATTTTTATCAAGTCAATTTTTTTTTAATTATAAAACTTTTATATATAAAGCAGACCTCATTCTTATTTAATCGAACCAAATTCTTGCAGATAGATCATTTTACTCACCCTCCAAAAATTTAGAAATCATATTTCCAACAGCTTTGTCATAAACATCTTGTTGGGTAGCTTCAGGGGCAAAAACATAATCAAATTGAAAGATTGGTCTCTTTTCCGTATCAACAACTACTTGATTTTGATTATAAGGAGAAACAGATATAACTTGACGTTGAAATCTTGCCGGCAAATTGATTAAATCATCTTGTGTAAGGGGCTTTATCCTTAGTGCTATTAATTGATAAATTGATAAATTTATTAAGATTAATTTTCCTCTTAATTGTCAATGTTAAATTGATTAAATTGATAAATTTTGATCAAAAATTATATAAATTCCAATTTAATAAATTACCAACTTGCACCGAGGTCGATGTTCCGTTAGAAGACATGATTTATAAGACAAATGTTTTTTAAAGTAATTATAAGATCGATCGATAGATCAATATAAATTTTCTATCAAATTCAAATTAATCTATAAAATTTCAGAAGCCAGCCCGCTGGTTAATGATACCCGAATTTTATGATATGATATAGATAATTGGTTGTTTGAGTAAATAAAATTTAATCCAGTCAAGACCAAGGAATAAATTTCACAAATAAGAAAATCACAAGGAGTAATTTATGAGTAAAACGTTCGACTAGGGACATAAAAAGAAAGGAATAAGAAACCTAGTAGATCATACAGCATCATTTGTTTATAAAAACCTTGTACGAAATAGAACAAAAAAGGAAAGTGTGTAACGATCAAAATTGTTTAAAGTTCCCTGTGTCTATTCAAGATGTACAAACCCAGCACAATTAGCAACGATCCTGGGAGCGTGGCGTCCGACATATTTATCGAACTTCTTTGTTTCGCATACACGAGAATACGTAATTAAGAACACACATGCATTACATACTATACCAGCAAGTTTAACATTCTTTTTGAGTGCAACCTAAATTATGTATGATAGGTTGAAAGGTACGTGTACATATGTATGTACGCAACGTACGCACGATGCGTACATAACATTCTTTTTTAGTGAAGTTTTAGTTGTACGTATTGTCTTATTATTACGAACGTGATTGCAAATTGAAGATAAATTACATAATAATAATAATATACTTTAGATGGTTAGTACGTGCGTAAGTTTATAATTTTCTTTAAATACCTGATGAAATCAATAAAGTATCCATTAGATTCACATTGTTTTTTTTACGTACGTAAGTACTTTTTTTTCTAAATTAATCTCACATGAATACGCATGCTTTATATTTAAAACTGAACCACGTAATTTCGCTGTTGCATTTAATGACTTATACATAATTGATTATTAATTGATTAAGAAACAACTCATTTAAAAGATTGTTAAGAATAGCGATAGTACTATTTTATACTTTTATATTGGAAATAAAATCTAATAATAACAATCAACAATATATAATTCCATAATTTATTATTATGATTGATTTTGGTTCATTCATGCATTTGCTTTTCCTCGTGAACTTCAGTTTTCTCAGTTTGTTTAATAAAGTTTTTTTCGTGTAGGTTTCTGACAAACGTACATATCAGAAGTGCGTCATTAATTACAACTCAGTGTCGACTCAGTGCTCAGTGCTGGCAGTAAATAAAACAATAGAATGTTTTAGAGTTTTTTTTTCTACGTATAGTATTAAATAATTTTTATTCAAAAATTTTTAATATAAATTGATATTTACAATAAAATATAAAGTTTCTAATATGTAATACATTAATAAAAATTTTTAATAATGCTGTATGTAGAATTATAGAATTATCATTCCTTAATTATGATTATTACGGAAATGAAAATTTTTTCGCGAAAATTTGGCATTATTAAACCCTAACCCCAACTGGATGGCACAGTATCGTGAAAGCTGATTAATGAAATAACATTTAAATTTTTTAGATTTTTTTTTTTTTATAATAATTGGTTTTATTAAATCACACCATGGTGTTCAATACCACAGTTGCTACAGTATATCTCAAAAACTAGCTAAGTAAAACTGTTCAGACTCACAAAAACCTTACACTAAAATCTAAACCTATATCTTGACTATAGTTTAGGTCCCTAACCCAAAATTTTACTAGCAAAGACTATTAAAAAATATATGTGGCGTGAAACACTACTGATGTGATTTTATTAATAATAATAATATAGCAACATGATCCTTTATAAGCGCAAATGAAAATGAAAGCCTGACAACAAAATAAATATTATTGTTATTTCCACGTTTAGATTTCCTGGTTTTAACTTGGTGACACTCAATTCCTTAATGTTCATCTTTAGTGTTCATAGTAAAGTTATGTACCGGGTGTTTGATAAGTCCTTAGACAGGACCTTTTTTATATCTCCGCTAGTATTAGTTTTTATTATATAAAATATTATAACAATATTACTAAGTATAATAGAAATTATGATTGATTTAATGATTAAAAAAGGTCCTGCCTAGGGACTTATCAAACACCCGGTATAATTACAATAGCGATAGTTTTCAACAATATCGATATGATTTGCGATTTACACCTAAAATTTTCAAGTACATTGATGTACTTAGCAAAAGGCGAAATGGGTTTCGAAGAAGATACGGGTCGGAATATGGATAACACACAACATAACGCCAAATTTAATTATACTCTAATGGTCAGAGGATATGTCACACAATCTGTACTGCTATATAATTTACGAATATTTTCATAATTATAAATAATAAATGACTATTATTACGTTTTGAAAACTGATTTACCGTTACGATTACCATTATTATTTATAATATTTGTATCACTGCAGCTTTCGATTTACACAAAAATAAGATAACAAAACTTTATTTTTACTAACGAATTTAGATCTTTTTCGTACAGCTAAAAATAAAATAATTTTTAAGATTCTTTATAATTCATGACCTATTCTAGCGAATAAACTCCTCTATTACATTGATTCAAGTTTTAGCGCTTTATTTGAATGTTGATCGGTAAGAATTTTATTCGAAAAATTTAAACTTTTTATTGAAATACAACGTACGTATAACTTTATTGTTTTAATTAGTAGAGATTCGTCATAAATGGATTTTAATGAAGAATTGAGGTACTGAATATCTGGATCAAGTCCTTTATTTTTTAAGATTTCTTTATCTATATACCATATTGTCATGAAATAACGGGCATGAATGTTATTTAGAAAGTCTTACCTCTGTAATGGTTTCAAAATAACGCCCATACACGATGCAAAAATGGTGATTAAAAGGGGATGACTGAAAACTACTATAATCTAGCAACTACAATAATAATTATACTCTAACAAGATCGAAAATCCGAATTGGTAGAATTCGATCGATGCGTGGGAAGACTTGATCAGAGTCTTTAGAGTCTGGGGTTTTATGGATACAATTCTAAAGTTCTGATAAGTATTCTTACTTTCAATCTTATATTTTTTATAGAATTATATCAATTTAATACTAATAGCTTTGCTATATTCTTTATCCAGGTATGCTGCCTATTTTGAGTAGTACCCTAGCCATAGCAAAAAAGTATCTGAACATCAACATTCTGATTGGACAAAATAAATCATCAAAATGTAATTTTGTTCAACTTTGAGCAAAAATATCTTGACAACCACCTATATAATATCGATAAACAATCTAATTTTTTTATTCCGATTCTATATACAGGTATAGTTAAAATTTATTAATTTTGATAGGTGGTTGTCAAGATATTTTCGCTCAAAATTGGGAAAAATTAAAATTTGATGATTTATTTCGTCCAATCAGAATGTCGATGTTCAAGTAGAATCTCATTTTACAGATGAGGTCATATAATTTAGCAGTCCCATGGGTCCGCAAGAACTGTTTATTAATGAGTGAAGCCAAGTTCAATTATATTTTGTGTTCAGTTTGTTTCCCTAAACGGCACTTAGGGAACAAACTGGACACAAAATATAATTGAAAGCCGATTGTAGGTTTTCCTTTGGCAGCACTCCAATAATCATATTGCTATCGACTGACCAAAACGATCGATCACAGGATTTTACTGTAAATATGATTTGGTATCGATCAAGTTCTTTAATTTTTTTCTTACTTTAATGGGTTATGATTGTGGGGGCAAGAGAATTCTATGATTTATGTGAAGCGATTTATAATGAGGTGGATAAATACTACTTGGACTCAGTGAAGAATTTCTGAAAGTTTTTTTTTGTTTTCTGAGAACATAAATTTTAATTTTTAGGTTCTTAAAAAAATTTTCAATGTTCTCAAACGTTCTTAGAAGATTATTTTTATAAAATAATTTACAAAGTTTATGTTCTCAAATAAGAACATAATCTTTAAATATTGTGTTCTCAAAAATATTTAAATGTTTTTGAGAACACAGAACATTAAATATTCAACACTGCTTGGACTATAAACAATTGAGTGGAAAGAGAATTGACATTAGATAATTTATTGAAATTATAATTTGTAATAATAGTAATTAAGTGAAATTTATATTTGTTTAATAAATTCAACATATTTTATCAATAAATTTCACCATAGTTTCTTAATATAAAGATTGATTCAACTTTAATATTTTATTGTAATCTGTAAGTGATTTTTCATATCCTTTCATTAAGCAATATGTTTCTACATGGTTATTCCATGTTCATGTAACTTTTGTTTGTTCCATGCCTTTCTAATGCGCCTGCATTATTTAGTTAAAGCCGGTAAGTGATTCTTGTTCAATTTCTAGTGACTTATTTAAATCTGACATGATTCCTAATTTTGTCTACCTGTAATAAATTAATCCGCAAATATTTAGTATCATTTCCCAATAACTTATTTAAATATGCAAGCAAATTTTATACCTCTAAGTTTTTCCACGATTTGTCACATTATTTGGTTTGATTTTTAATACATTGTTTAAATCCATAAATGTTACTTCATACCTGCCCATCAGGGCTATAAATCTACAAATGTTACTTCATATCTGCCCATCAGGGCTATAAATCTTCAAATATTTAATGTATCCGGTTTAATTTCTAATAAGATACTGAAATTTACGAATGATTGTATCTTTTCAATGTACGATAAGTTTTTCTACAAATTGTGTCAAATGTTTTTGTATTATGAAAATGAAGAAAATTATTGCATTTTACATTCGTCTTGGTACTGGGCGCCTGGATTATTATTACCAAAACCTTTATTGGTATTTTCAGAGATCTTTCGTTTTTTGTATTTTTTATCAGACCTTATTTGCGAATTGTCCACAGATTCATTCATTCTTTTTTTCTCTGACTGTTTTTTTTCTAGCTCCCGCTGTTTTTGCTGAGCTACAGTTTCAATTATTACATTACGTGCACGCCTACCAGCTGTATCACGCTCAACTGTCTTCTCTATTTCCTGCCTATAAATGTTATAAAGCCTTTCTATGCCAATATTATAGCAAGCAAAAAGCCTATAAAATCCTTCGTCATAATTCTGAGATATATTAGAAAATAAAGGATGGGTTGTTGGTTCAGGTGAACTAAACGCCTCTAAAAGTTCAATTGTTAGTTTCCATAATGCTTCTTTTCTTGATTTCAAATTACAATCAGTATGTGTAGTAGCACGTCACCAACAAACTCACTTAACAATAAATTCATCCGTGCTCTTTTTGATTGAACAGATGAAACTCTTTCTTTTAAATCATCTATAGTACCCAAGTACTTTCCAATGTTTTGTTTCACATATTTTACTCCATAAGACTCGAGGGCTTCATCAAGCACTAAATAATGACCCGGTCTCGTTATATTTATGGAACATGCAAGATCTAATAAAGCTTGCAACATAGGATCATTACCTACTTGAGCCAGATAATCAGTAACTGACTCTGCATAATTACATCGTCCAGCTACTGCAAAAAGGTGAGCAAAAGCGGCCAAACTATGATATTGCATTTTATGATCACCGTGTCTAATCCCGATTTTATGGCAAACCCAAAACCCTGCCCATATAAAAAATCGATACCAAACTTTTACAATGTTATTACTTCCGGATTCAATATCTCCCATACTTAAATTATTACGTTTGGTATAAGCTGTAAGAGCATTGCCTACTGCGACCCAGATCAATTCAATAACCCTGCATGTAGCTGTATAATCCACTACCTTTTCGAGTTTTTCAAGAAAACGAACCCCCAGACTAGCTGCTAACTTATATATACCGTAACCTGAAAAAACCGCTAATAAGATATTTAACATGCATTTGTTGGTATGCCAACCACCAAGCAATAAACGGATTTCAGGTTTTATTGTACGTAATGAAACTAACCTACGAAATATTGCTTGGTCTGCAGATATATCTAAAAATTTATTTGTGCCAACACCTACATCGTCAAAATACATGTTTATTGCCTCATGAACGTTCATATTATTACACAGATTATCTCCTGGAGCTAATATAACTACATTTGGTTGTGGTAAATTGCATCCTATTGGAATGCTTTTTTTGAATTCAGATCTTATATCAATAGCATCATAATTTAACCATTTATCTTCAACAAATGAGTGAAAGATTTTTTCAAGATTTTGTATTTGCTGGTTAATAAACATTGATCGTCCAATTTGAAAGGATAGTAATTCAGTATTGTTAGATTTTATTAGGTTTGATATAGCTTGTGGAAATCAATATTGCCATACCATTCGAAGCGTTAGATGAGCTGTGTTTCGTGTTACATTATAAAGATTATCGTAACTAAATGTGCTCTCTTGTAAATCGAAATTATATACCATACAAATGTTCCATACGTCTTCTCTTACCCATAATTTCTCAACTATATTAGTTTGTTCACGCCGCTGTTTTTCCAAATGTTTCTCATATCGATTGGTATGTGCTACTACACCAGCTGCACATAATATTGAATATAGTAATGCGTGCAGGCGGGGCTTCTGACACAAAGAACTAAGTATGTGAGTGAACCAAACGTTTAGTCACAGAAAAGTTATAGATAATAATACGGAAACAAAAAACAGAGAAATTTTTTTGGCATATGTATCATCATAGCCTTTTTCCAAAACTCCTCTTTTTTTCTGCTTTCTCACTACGACCTTCCATTTATTTTGTTGTATCGTATTTATTAGACTGTAAAAAAAAATTAAAAGCACTGATGGAAATCCATCCTGATACTCCTTTAAAGAACCAGGTGTTTCTAATTTCTCTTTATTGACACGAACTTCAAATCTAGAGTGTCAAAACAAGTTTGCTAAAGCTTCGCCCATTTGTGCTGGGTGTTTTTTATTGTATTACAGAATGTTTTACTAGTAGAAAATTTTTTAATATTTACTTTTTTTAATCTGAACGCAATTTTTATCCCTAAAAAGCTTAACGGATTTGATCTTTTTTTTTGATTTACATCATTTTTGTCATTTCTAATCATATCACCTTCCAACTCCTCATCGCTAACATTTTCTTCTTTATTTAATTTGGCTAATTTTGATTTTTCAAAAAAAGCAATAACTCCCCTAAAAATTTCATCAAGAAGAAGACATCGAGTATTCCTTTCAGCAGATTCGGATATGTCATTTATCCACTTGGCTAGAAATTAGAGAGACTTTATAGAGTCATCACAATGTTGATTTGTACAATCAAAGGGAGAGACAGCACCTCGTCCTCTTTGTTCATATAAATGTCCACCCTCAGACATAAAACATGATACACAAATATATCGTGTACGCTTAATACCAGTAGACTGCTTAACGAAATCATTACTTTGAAATACAGGGCAAACTTTTAACCCATTACATGCTATTCGTAAGTTTCAATTACAAAATTTCTATGAGTGTTCTGAACAATAAACTCGACTAAATATGTATTTGTCAAATCCGCAAAATAAATATTTTTTTCTAGAAATTAGTGCTTTGTCAATACTAACTTCACTTTTTTGGCAACTATGCAATTGCTTATTATCATAATTGAAGTGATTTGAGCAAATTCCTAATGAATGTATTCCATTCTCATTTGATCTTAAGATTTCATTTACCGTCTCAAAGTCTAATTCCCAAATTCTACCTAGTTGCCTTAATGGCTTAGATACAGAATGAGAGCATCGTTGTGATGTTCCATTAAGATCATCTATTATAATACATGTGCTATTTACATATTTAATACGCGAAGAACTAAGTTCTATATTTAGTTCATTTTCTTGGTGATTATTAACTTTTCACAATGATTCTTCATTAGATATTGTATCAAGTTCCGATGCCAACCAATTTATATCGGTCTCTTGATCCTGTTCTTGCATTACTTGTGATGTTGAATCAACAAACAATTTAGCCATCTCTACAGCTGTTTGATCAAAATAAATATTATATGAATTATCGTATATATCATTATCTACATTGCTTGTGCTATTTGTAGATGAAGAAGGTGCAGCTGTGGTTTGCTGTTTAAGACTTTCCGAATTATCTCCAACGCTAATATCATCAAGGATTTCGAAATCCTTATCAGGATCACTACATAAAACCTTTCCATAAATATTCTCAGTACTTGAAAATAGATTATTCATTAAAATAAAAATTTTGTGATGTGTAGAAATAACAAAAAATAATATGATTGCGACGAAAAATTTAACGTTTAAATTATTTATTCAACAAAAAAAACTGTATATAATATATAGTGGCTATGAATAATTTGACCGTTCGAATAAGTTTAATCAAATATTTGTTGCTTCAAAAAAAAAAAAAATTGACCGTCCAAATTGATCATTCGAAGATTTCAAACAATGGCAAAAAAAAACCAAATATCATAGCTATAAAGATTTTAACCATTCAAATTGTTCATTCAAATAATGGTTATTTAAAAAATATTTTGATGCCTTGTAACTTCAATATAAATGTAATGGGCCTGTATTGAAGAAAAAAATATAAAATATAAGCGAAAATTCTTGTGTAATGTATTTACGGTTGCCTCACTTCAATTCAAGATTCTTTAAAGACTAGACCTTCTACAAACAACAGCTTATGAAATGTTCAAACAAAAGACCAAAACTTACAATTTTTTTTTTTTTTTTTTTTTTTTTGTAAATGCCATAGTTGAAACTTTATTTAAGAAAAGTAGAGAAAGATCTACATTTAAAGATTTCGAACTACACTTGTGCTACTAATGAGACACCCAATGTGACATTATATCCTCTAATTTTCTATATAATGCTATTGTTAATTATTCTAAATAATTATATAGCTAGACTAGGTTAGAGGAAACCTAA